TAAAGGGTATGTAATGATATTTCGCATAAGCTAATTAACTGAATTATAAGGATATTTCGTGTGCATATACATGGTGTGTTTTGTATGTCCGAGGTATCTTTGATCAGTCAAAATCAGTTCAAGTGTGATTTACGTTTATTTTGCTCAATTCGTATGACCTTCTTGTGTGTCTCCGAGTTATCAAAGACGATACACCTAGCTTCCAAATAATATGGTGTATTAAAGTCTATACATTACTAACTTATTGGATGCTTATTCGTAAGAGCATATTAAAGAGTGCAACAAGTTTCCAGTGACTTGTCCAAACAGCTGTGGTCATTCAATCCCACAGGATATGGTGAGACTTTCAACTTTTTCTTATTGTACAATCCGAAGTTCGAAGTGACTGTTTTACGATTAGATACAGCTTTTGAAATTCAATATATTCATCTTCTATACATCGCTTCACATCCTTTCATTTGAAATGTCGCCAGATAAGAAAAGAAAACAAAATTTTAAGTCGTTATTGTGTTGCGGAACTTGAGCTAAAGGTGTATGAAGGTTACATAAATGACCGGTTTTCCGATTTATTTTTCTTACTGTTAGTTGCTTCATCAAAGTTTGCTTTCTAAACTACGTAAGGCTGACAAACACAATTTTCAAAATAAACTTTCCAAGATAATTCTTGATCACCATCCGCAATCCTCTGCGTCCGAAGTTCTTGACTGATTTGGTTGGAAGCCATTGTATCTTGGGCGGCGTTTCCATCGTCGTAAATGATCTTCAAGTGTTTGAATGGCTTTACTGATTTTCATTTTCATTTTGTTAGAAATAACACAATTCACAATTACAACACACGTTCCTGAGATGATTTCACCTGCCTCGTGTAAAAACGAACTGGGGCAAACAACATCTTATGCATCATAGCGTCGTAGACTAGAGCTCTTTAAGTCAGGATATACGTGACACCTCTATGTTTTCTTATTTTAAATCTAGCTCAAACATTCAATTTAAGGTTTTTGATAAGTTTTTAAATTGTTTTTCATTATTTTTTAACTGTTTCTATTCTTAATCTAGTCTTTACTCTTTTACTATGTGTAGTTTTTGTTTAATCGAAGGTAATTGTAGTATACGCAGGGCCCCACTGAAAAGCACTTTTCGTGACGTGGGGCTTCATGCTAAAATATTGTTACTATTTTTATAATATTCTCGACAGGGAAAAACGCCGACGTTATTTTTTTTAGGCAACAAGAATTGCCTCTGAACGTCCCTACAGAATTTATTTAGCCTGTTCCAGGCAAAGAGCCGGGATAGCGAAAAACATTGACTGCGGTTGTCTGAGGGTTTACAGTAAATTCGCCACCACAGCAACCTCGCCACAACAAAACTTGGCATTAATTAGAATAATAAGTAGCAGGCCAGCAATGTTCCTTGAGTAAACTTGGCTGGATTTGTACGCGCTTATAATTTCGCAATATCCTTCGACTTCTTAGCATTTTTATGAGGGAAGTTTCATAAGATTTCCTTCATATCGGCGGAAATCACCCAGTCAAAATTACCCGGCGAATAAGAAGTTTACTTGTAAATACACGTATGCCTCATAATTTCATTTCTGTTTTTCTCTTTCTCGAATATCATAATATTAGGCACGTATGTTTGTAGTCCACTTATTAGCAGAGAACCAATCACTAATTCAATTAAACAAAGTTAGTTTCTGATCGTCAGATTATCATCCTTAACTTTAATTTTACTTGAAACTCTAACCTATCTTCTTATCAAAGGGCTAAGACCAGTGTTATCGTGGTTGTGTTTTAGGATGTTTTCCCTAATAAAGGAACCAAAAGGAAGATTCTATCTCTGACAATCAAATGTCCAAGTGATGGCTGTAAATGGACTGGGGAACTGAGAAACAAGAAGGTAAAACTAACTCAAATTCTTCTCAATGTAAATTAACGCCTTCGTCAACGTAATCTTCTTTTCCAGTCGCCTTTTCCCTACAATCATTAGAGTTCGTGCATGGAGAAGAACTGCCTTGCAGACAATGGGGTTAATTATCCTAACTGATAGAGCAATGTAGATTACTGTAAGCTAATACGGCTTTGTTATGATCAATTTGTTGAACAGGTGCACTTGAGTAATTGTCCTTTTCGTCGAGTGCTGTGTAACAATATCAAATTTCATATTTGCCCTCAAAGCTTCGCTTCTTAGCCAAATACTCATTTTTTGGACAATCTCTCAGCCGCGGACATCATCAGCCGACTTACAAGCCGCCCGAAGGGGTTTATTTACTAGGTAACTTATGATTTACGAGGCAAACAAAATAATAAGTCGTTAGAACTTGAACTACGGAAACTAAAGATGTATAAGGGTGACATAAATGAAATGCTTTCTGAGTGATGTTTTGAACTGTAAGTTGCTTGTTATAAATTTGGTAATAAAGACACGTAACTTTAGGAATAGCTTTTCATGGAAAAGGTTTCCTGTGATTCCTCTCCGATTTGATGTCCAGGTGCCCGTTAATTACAAGTTTCCGAGGGTAGAGCTGATTTTTGGTTTACCGCGTATTCATTCGAGATTAAGATATTGATAATTTTGAAATTAAAGAATCAAAATATCACAAAACTAGGGAGAAGATTAGCAATGACCCCAGGAATGTCTTCAGCTTGGAAATATAGAATTTCACTTCCTCGAGTATTAGGAGGAAAAGCAGTTTTCAATGACGGCTAACAATCGCCCAAGATGGCGAAAATAGAAACAAGCCGCAGGAAGCAGTGAAGTCAAATTTGCCCTTATATTCAGTGTATCGAACGACCTTGTCGCGCATAAGATTAATTTCTGGCACGTGACGTGATCCAATGTACGCATAAATTTTTATAGGCCTCAAAGTTTAAATTAAAATTGAGCTGGATCTATTACCCCCAGAGCTCCTTCACAGCATGGGAAAAATTGAGTCGATTTCAAAGATAGCTGAAAAAAATAGAGCTTGGATTAAAGTATTATTGACTATGGTACCCTAGGATACATTTGAAATGTTTCTTAATTGCAAAGATAATAATACGTATGATGCACGATCCTCGCAGTAGATAGCGCTATTTAAGCAATAGCGAAAATCAGACCTGAAAAAAATCAGGCCTGTACGGGACTCGAACCACTGACCTCTGCGATACTAGTGCAGCGCTCTACCAATTGAGCTAACAAGCCAACTGGGAGCAGGCCGTTAAGTTGATTCGTAATAAACCCGTGAAAGTGATAAATGAGATACAATGAATATATGAAGTTCATATATTTTGAACTGCGGTATTAGATACGTATGATGCACGATCCTCNCAAAATATATGAACTTCATATATTTCATTGTATCTCATTTATCACTTTCACGGGTTTATTACGAATCAACTTAACGGCCTGCTCCCAGTTGGCTTGTTAGCTCAATTGGTAGAGCGCTGCACTAGTATCGCAGAGGTCAGTGGTTCGAGTCCCGTACAGGCCTGATTTTTTTCAGGTCTGATTTTCGCTATTGCTTAAATAGCGCTATCTACTGCGAGGATCGTGCATCATACGTATCTAATACCGCAGTTCAAAATATATGAACTTCATATATTCCATTTTATCCAAAGATAATAATGCTATATATGTCTATACCATTGTATATCCACCGTTCGCAGACAATACAGAATTATCCACGGTAATGTTTTTCAGTAAAGTATCATCCCAGGAGATTCAAATCACAAGTGGAATAAAGAGAACTCTTAATTCTATTCAGTGCGATATGTTAGTCACACGGCTTACCTTTCAACGATATATATATAGGTTATTAACCAAGCTTGTTCGGTCAAGATGGCTGGATATTGGTCAAGTTCTTTTTTCGCATTTTATGGATCGTGACGAAGTCGAGGTCCACAAAAATGCTAAAAAAGAATGAGGCTAATATCCAGCCATCTTGACCAAACAAGCTTGGTTAATGAAGGATTTCTTACATCGCAAAAATATTTCGCTTTGATAAGAATTAGGAATGACTTATTTACTTCGAGAACCTGGAAAGAAAGCCAACTGTGTCTAGCACAACAAACTCACGAGAGTCGTTTCTGTTTTCTTTATTTCTTGATCCTGCGAGCGATGTAATAATATGCTTTATTCCATCGCTCGCAGTGCCCGTGGGCAAGATGAAGCTAATCCTGTGTTCTGATTGGCTACCTGAGTTGGATTGCCCATGTTGATCCCGCGCATGAAGAAAAAATAATAGCAGTTATCGGAGTTGAGTTGGCTAAACAGCGGTCTCTCAATAAAATTGCATGGAAGCGAGGCATTTGGGCCAAGTGATTTAAGATGGTCGAAGAGTTTCACAGCGAATCTGAGCTCTGAAGCCGTATTCTAGACATTGATCGGCTACTCCCTATTTTTTCAAGCTTCAAAAGAATCAAGAACTATAGTCAGACATTGTGTGGCCTTTGGGTGCACAAATCGAAGCGATAAACCAGCATGTAAAGGGCTTTCATGGCTTTCACTGCCACTAAACAACAAAGACCTTCTGAAGACGTGGCTAGTAAAGATCAGACGAGAAAATTCGCCATTAAGCAAAAACTCTTTCCTCTGAGCGAGCATTTTGATGAAAAGTTTTTCTTTAGATGATTTTCTGGAAGAAAAGCAAGTCTGAAAACAGGATCAGTGCCGACCTTATTCTGCTTCACCAATCAGAAAACGAAGAGAAATCCACCGAAAGAAAGATATGACTTCAACGGTGTCGAAGTGAACCTAAAGCAGCTAAAACTCTCAATCTGTCTTCTTTCGAAGGTGATGTAGTCGTGGATGAAAATGTATGTAATGAGCAGCTTGTGGAGGAAAGGGCCTATCAAAATATGACCAATGAAGCAAATGAGGATGTTAACGGTTTGTCAGAGGAGCAAATGGAAATCACAAATTTGAAGCAACAACATATGAAAACTGAGCAGGATTTGCAAAGGCAAATAAAGGAACTTAAACTTCAACTTGAAGAAGAAAGAAAGGCAAGGAATGAAATGGAAATGTTGTTAAAGAAAAACATCTTCAGAATAGATAACATTAAGGACAACGACAAATTTTTACGATTCTACTCTGGCTTTGCTAACTACGATATCTTTACCACGGTCCTTGATATTCTTGGACGTGATGCAGCTGTTAACTTGAATTACAAGAACAAGGACAGATCAAAAAGTGACTCGACCCGAAATGTAGAACCTGGCCGAACTTTTAGCAATGAAAATGAGTTATTGATGGTTCTTTGTCGCCTCAAAACTGGTTTACTTGAGGAAGATCTTGCAACCAGGTTTTGTGTGACTCAAAGCATAGTGAGTCAGATAGTTAACACCTGGATTAAGTTTATGTATTTTAAATTTAAAGAACTTGACATTCTACCTAACAAAGACATTGTAGATGGGCAAAGAACAGAATGTTTTAACATGAAATACAAGAATACAACTATTATTATAGATGCTACAGAGATTTGCATCGAAAAACCTAGCAATCCTGCCGCACAGCAAATCACCTTCTCACCATACAAGAACACGAACACGCTCAAGGCTTTAGTTGGTATCATTCCAAAGGGAGTCATTTTATTTGTTTCTGAAGCTTATGGAGGCTCCATTTCAGACAGAAAACTTACACAGAAGTCAGGGCTTATAGATAAATTGCAGAGAGGTGATGCAGTTATGGCAGACAGAGGCTTCAACATTGGGGGAGATCTCGCGCACAAGGGAGTTCCAGTCAACCTCCCACCTTTTATGAATCCGTCTGGTCAGTTTGATAAGGCAGACATGCCTACTTTCGTAATTCATGAACAATTTTGGGGATAGAAAAGCAAAAAGCAGCAGAAGATAGTCAAAACAAAGAAAACAGAAACGACTCTCGTGAGTTTGTTGCGCTACAAACACAGCTGGCTTTCTTTCCCGGCTCTCAAGTCATTACTAATTCTTAATAAATATATCTTATTAGACGTTTCGTTGTGTAGTATCGCTGAGTATTTTTACGAGTTGTGCCGTATTTTGACGAGCCCGTGGGGGTGTCAAAATACAAATAACGAGTAAAAATACTCAGCAATACTACACAACAAAACGTCTAATAAGTTATTTATTATCCAACACGCCAAACTGTTATTTCAGTGCGGGCGAATTTCGCAGATATTTATTTACGGGGAGTACGTGACAAAAGTATGCGAAACGGAACGGAACTGGCGCGTTGTCGTATTGTTGTTTCTGTTTTCTTCAATAAATGAAGAAATTTCCTGGTCGTCTAACTGTTTTTCTTCGTTCGATTCATCTGATAAACTTGGATCTATATTTTCCAGCCATTCTGACTCTTCCTCGTCGGAAATGTGATTCAAATTGTCCGCCATTTTTTTTCCTAACTACAGTCCAATTCTTCTCTTGCGCGATGCGAGAAAACCTGTTTAACCGGTACTCTAGAGTACAAATACCGCGTGATGTTTGTTCTCGTCTATGGCGTTATTTGTACTCTACGAAATGTAGTTGGACAATAAAGCGAAATATTTTTGCAATGCAATGCAATAAATCCTTTATTAACCAAGCTTGTTTGGTCAAAATCGCTGGATATAAGCCTCGTTCGTTTCGCATTTTTATGGACTTCGACTTCGTCTCGGTCCATAAAAATGCAAAAAAAAAAGAACTCGGCCAATATCCAGCCATCTTGACCTCACGCTTGGTTAGTAACGCATTTTTCTCAGAGATGTCATGACAGACTCATTACAAGCATGTTTATGTCGATAATACCTGAACGAAATTTTTTAAATGATGAGTAGATCGTAACTTGCATGGACGAGGGACAATGAAGTAAAAATACGAACCCAAACCTTGCAAGGTATTGCTCGAGGCATTGTGGACAAAACCTGTGACCACATCTCATCAGAACGGCCTCTCGCAGAGGTACTTGACAAATTAAACAGAGCAAATCGTCGTCAATTTAACTCATAAAATCCTCTCCATAACCAGAAGGTAAATGAGCGTTTACACAGACTCCCATCTGCCAGGACTTTGCATTTAACTCCAACAAAGCTTATACTCTGTCGGCTGCTTCACACAGACTGTCACTTCACCGAAACAATGCTACGAAAACAATACAAAATTTATAAGAAATGACTATGCTTGACTGAGTAGCTAGTAAATTTTATGAAACTCGAAAGAACGCGTGACCCTCTTGCGACAGTTTCCTTTAACCCGTCTGAGCAAGATGATGTCTTCAACTCATCAGAAAATACATTTTACTCGACCTTAGGGACTTTTTTTCGGTCAGTGCGTCAAAATTTTAATGAAGAGATGTCATTGTAAGGGAAAGAAGTTATTTTTTCGTGCTGGAGAAAATTTTCCCATATAAGTATGGATTTTTTTATGCTTTTTTTTTTGCGAAGTAAAACGAAAATCTCAACGATTCTAACATTATTCTATTGATAGAGATCAAATATCGTGCCTGGTTGCATTTGATATACATTTTGAAACAGTAGTCGCATTTTTTGCATATTGCATCATAATTAAAAAAATAAGTTCGAGTATCCCGAGCGGTTTTCAAAATGGCGGAATCCGCGTCGAATGAATATCGCCCTCCCTTGGGCCACAACGAGAACTTTATGGAAGCAGTTTACGAGGATTTTCAGTGCCCGATATGTCATCTGCCACTAAAGGAACCTGTTCAAACGAGATGCGGCCACAGATACTGCAAAGGATGTCTTGACGAGGATATTAGAAGGTATGAATAAATGAAAACAACCTTTTGGTATTAATTTTCATTGCCTCATATAATCCATTATGCTACATTATGCTGCAAGAGTAGCTCTTCCGAGTAAGGGGTTAAAAATCAGTGTTACGTTCATACACATCAGTTACAATGGTAGTGGCGGCCGTGAAAATTTACATCACAATGCAATTTCGTTTTGTGACAATGCGTTGCCATAGTCAAAGTCATTTCGCAAACTATATGCTTTTGCTTCTACGGATCTTTAGCAAAATACATCTCAATCCGTATTCCCCACTGCGAATGTCTTCCGAAGTATCTCCTCCAAAGAGTCCAACATTATGGGGTAGAAAGCATAATAAGAGCGATTGCTCTCGTTTCAATTTGCTTCAAATCGAAACCTGATCTATATCGTCCTTCTGAACTTTCCGTTTACAAAGATCAAATCAATCCAAAAAATCAAACACTTGCATTAGCTGCAAAAACCTTCAAACGAGTATGATCTCTGAACCCAATGACACATTCATACTTATGAATTTTAACACAGGAAGCGAAGTCAAGGACGGTCCTTAACTTGTCCATCGGACAGGCAGAATCTAGACCCAGACAAGGTAAATAACCTCTTTAGCTTCTTAAGAGCAAATTTTGAGTGGACAGAGTGAAAATCGAAAAATATGGCATATGGTCTAGAAGTTGGTAACCTTCATGTTTTGCTGAGAGATTCATTACAGTGAACCAAGAGAGGTGTGAGGTTTTTTTTTCCCACACTTGCCTCTTTGTTCGAGAAAATTCATGAAAACTGTAACGAACGCCGGTAGCTGTAGAAAGGCAGCAATCAGTGATCAAAGTAGAGTCAAATTGACTGTGCTGACGAAAAGCGCAAAAGAGAGCATGCTTGTATCAATTTGATAAGTTTGTATTGGAGGGATTGAGGTATGGTCTAGGTCTAAATCGGGACCATATCATTTAATGCAAAATATCGCATTCCGCAGCAAATTTTCAATCGTCATTTTCTCCATGCGCTATGACTTGGATTCGGTTCCGGGTTAAGCTCATGATAAGTGGAGATAGTGTTGTTTTCGAGAATATAAAAGTTAGTCGGGTGCTTTTCATTTCTGCGCTGAAAAAACAGGTTAAACTTCGTGAAAAATGCAACATCGTCAATTACGTCACGATATAATCTAATTGAGCACTTCGTGGTCAAATCTGGCATTTCGTCCCGAATTCTTATCCATTTCCCATGGCGAAATTGTTTTCGATAACACATTCCGTAAGCTAACGGAGGGCGTCTGTTTTTCTTTACATATCCGATCACATTTATGATTTGGGAAAGTACTAGATAAAATTGAGCTTCATTTTGGACTTGAAAGAGAACATTCCAGTCATTTATACCGTTAGGGTCAAGTGTTGTCTGCCGATGACCTTGAAGACGAGCAGCAATCTGATACTACTGTAGATGTAACACACTCGAGCGTTTGTCATGCAAGGCTAAAATTATTAGTTGGGCGACCGACTATCGGTTTACCATCGGGTTTCTCCACAAAACTCCGTCACGTGTAATGGGGAATACTGCAGACACGTAGTAATAAAGGCGCAACCTTTTTTCCACGATTTCAAAGATGGCGGATGTGTCGAATATGTTAACAATGTGTGTCATCTTTTCTACGCTTAAACACTGATACAGACCCACACACCGTTCGCGGTAGACCCACTCTAAAAGATGGCGCGTGTAATGAGCGTATATTTCCAATCGGTCGTTCCGCGAACTCAAAATAGTAAAAGAATCAAATGATTTAGTGAAGGTTTCTCTAGAATCAAACCAGAAATCAAATGAGTTATCAGTAAACACTGAAATATGGATGTGGACAGAGTAACAGGAGAACATTTGCTGATAAATACAAGGTGCCTCGTGATCAAACTCTGGGAAACGACAACAAAGATGCCATGTTGGACTTTCATCAGTGAGGATAAACGTAATTGTTATGTTTATGTGTCCTCTATCGTGATTATTAAGCTTACATTTGTTATGCTTTTGCTCAAACAGAGTATATTATCCGCTGTTGTTTTTCTGTTCATTCCATTAGTTATGTCGCTTTTGTGCCAATAATAAATTCACGTTTTTGTTATGCAGGAATGTTTGTTTGGTACCAAATAACGCGGTGTCAAATGAATGTGATGATGCATAATTTGGACAAAGGAGCGCTATGCATAGAATAAAAGTGTGATGAATCAGCGTTGTGTGCACAACGAAATGATGTTGCAAAAGAAATAAAATATGCAAAAGAATTCAGTTCTCCTCATGCGGTGTTTGTTAGTCGTTGTGAAATTAACAGTGGTGAGTACCATGTGCGAAGGCGATTCGATCGTGAGCATAGCAGAATGCCAGTAAATTAACTAGAAAATCTTTCACGAAAAAAAAAATAAATAAAGAAACTGATGTGTGGAAGAATTCTTTAAAACATTCCTATCTCATCAAAAATGTATTGCTACATCAAATGCAGAGTTAGAAAAAGGAGCAGTAATTGACAGTATTAAGTTTGTACAAAAGATGAGAAAGAAATGGCATTCTAAACAGTCAACACTGAATCGAAAATTGTTGAGTTGTAGAGACTCTCAGTAAATATCTATCTTTGTATAGCTGTAATACATTAACAAGTGTGTACAAGAATGTAAGCCACAGAGGTCATTGTGCTACACTGAATGTGTGCAATGACATTGAGACAAATTGTGGGTCTCCTATACATGGTATTGATCCTATTCTAACAATCAAGGCACCATATAGTCAAGGTGATATCATGTAATTTGATGAAAATGCTGGAAAACAATGTGTTGTTATGAGTATGATTGCTCTGATTTATATTAAGATAAAAAAGAGAGTATATCTGGTACAAATTTTGGAGATGGGTAATCAATTGTATTCAACACTGTCATGATGTACAGGGCAGTTGTAGTTAAAGCAAACAGAATTACTGTCAATGATTGCTTTGTCTGAAAAAAATTACTAGCTTAAGTAAAGTGAAAGCTACAATGGTAATCTACATTAATGTGATTCAATAATTGAGGAATATCAGTACAGTATGTCTACAGAAAGGGCTTTGAATCACTCATGTCACAAAATTACTCTTCATTTATTCTGACAATAGAATGTAAACAGTGTCAGTATCTATTGTACTGATAATGGGAGTTATAAGATATTTGATTCTCATACGAGAGACGAATATGGTAGAAGCCATCCCTCAGGTACATGTGTACTATTAGAAGTACCATCTATTCAGGGCTTAGTACAGTATATTCAGACTATAGACTCCCTCAATGACAATTATGAACTCAGAGGAGTGCACATAAGTACATATGAAATAACTGCAGGGAACAGTTTGAGAGAAGAACACAACTGCTCTTGTAAACAATGCTCTGCTGTAGGGCTTTATGCAATGTGTTACTCAGCAGCAAAGTCTTGTAGTTATTAGAATTCCATAACCCTATGTTGCACAGCTGACTGAGGAAATAAATTATATCGTAAGATGGGCATCAACAGGCATCTAAAAAGGGCAGATTTATACACGAGTTTTAATATTTGTAGAGCTGAGATATCAGTCCAAATTAAAGCTCATAGCCACGGGATGTTGTCCAGTGGTTTAAACAATATAAAAAAAAAGTTGGAAAACTTAATTTTCAACAACTACTGGGAAATAAAGGGTTTTCATTGTGGCTTGCAAGTTACTGTTAGGTATTACTTGTATTTTTCAACAAACAGTCAGAGCAAAGTATATGTTCTCCTTGACATATGAAGATACTTGTGAACCTGCAATAAAACAAATAAAAATAAGTGGTATACCATCATTAGTTTAGTACAAGCTATTTCTAACATTGTTACAAAGAAAATTTAAACAGGTATTATTCACTACGAAATGCAGTTTTTGTCTTGCACATCTAACACGGACCTTCATCAAATCAGTCACAGCAAAAGCACAGACGAAAATATAGTTATGATAATTTGGAACCCACTCCAAAAATGAAAAGACTGCAACAGATATATTTTAGAAACAAAACCAAATTCAAAGTTAGACAACAGCAGAAGGGTGAGACAATCCCAACTATTGATATCTGCATTCATTAATTCAAAGAGAAAATCAGGGAAGGTCCTTACTGGTATGCTGTGTATACAATGTTTTCAAGATGAAATAGACTTCCTTGCTTTCAGACCATTACAATTACAATTTCATAATGTATCTTTTTTAACACACGCATCAATTGGCATGTACTTATCACCCTTGGGAAGGGGGACTCCTTAAATAAAAAGGACTGGGGTGCCCGTTGTACCTTTTAGGGGTTAAAAAAAGGTGGGCTTGGTACCCCTTAGGCTGTTGAGCCTCAAAAGGTCCACAGCAGCAGCTCCTGTGATACCTTTTAGGGTATTGCACCAAAAATATGTGACAGTACGTTGTTGTAGAATTGGTGTCTTTCAGAGATGAAAAGAACTTTATGCTACGCCCACAAACCAGGACCTTGGTATTTCTTTTAGAGCCTCTGCGCACCACGAATGGTCAACACTCATATCAGCACGTCTACCTGTAGCCCGACTTACGATCTTGGATCGTCTTGTTTCAATTACAAGGAAACATTTACTATTTCCCTTCTTGCGGTTTTCAGCCACGAAAATCACAGATACTATTGTGTAAATTATTTTGTTAACAAACTTGTTCATTAGATAATATAGAATAAGTTACCTTGGAAGGGTTCTTTCACTGAAAAGCAAAGTTCAAATCCATGTGAAAGTCCCTGTGGTAACTACTTTAACGGAAAAGTCAGAAGACTGCTGTGAGTGAATGAAGACTCTGTGGCAAGGTTTTGTTCGGTGATTATCAAACGAGAAGGATACGAAAATTTCCACAACCATGACTTACTGATCCCAACGCACCACCTTAAGGAAATGCCTTGCTTAATTAATCCTTAGTGAAAATCCATTTCAATTAATTGAGGAGAACTTCCTGCAATCACATGGAACCGCTATGGGCACGAAAATGGTAGTGTCATCAGCCAACATTTTCATTGTAGAAACTGAAACGAGATTACATGTGATCCAACCGAAGGAAAACCAAGCCAAGAGAATGGAAACTTTCTGATTGCTATTGTTTTCTCCCTTTGTGACTGCAACAGAAAAGAGGTAAATCGATTTATTAAACTAGCTAACTATTTCCACCCTGCTATCAGATTCACGGCCGAAATATCAGAGAACCAAATCACTTTCCTCAATACCCCAGTGTTTAAAGAGAAAGGATTTACAAATTATTCGATCTTGGATATCAAAAACCCACTACGAGCCCACCGAGACCTTTCAATTTACGAACTTTGCCTCTTTCCACCCACTGCGCATAAAATATGGTTTCATTAGAGGTGAAGTAATAAGATTTCTCAGAACTAACTCTTCCCAAGAAAAATTTGGAAAGAGCCTCTTGAAATTCGTGTCAAAGCAAGAGAGTACCTACAAAACATCATAGAAAGGTCCCTGCCAGGTGTCCGCTTTGCCTCAAGACAAGCGGCTCTCTGATCATCTAACATAGACAAAAGCCAAAACCCTGAACCGAACCTGAGTAATAGCGCATGGAAAAAA